TCTAGATGCAGGAGGACCGCCGACTCTATGGTCCTTCTGGCCAATTGGGCTGGACCCACAGGACTGACTGGCCCTGGTCCCAGCCGAGGTGGACGGGTTTCCCGCCTGCCTGTCGAGGCGCAAAGGGAGCTGCTCAGTGACTTCTTGGCGGCCCCGGGCCACAGACAGCGTATCCCAAAAGGCCTGACACAAAGAGGTGCTGAAGAAACAGCCCACAGAACGGGAGAGAATATTTGCAAGTCGTGTATCCGAGAGGGGTTAACGCCCAGAACACACAGGGAGCTAAAGTTCGACAACAACCCGACTCGAAAATGGGTAAAGGGCTGAAACAGAGAACACACAAAAGGCCAACAAGCCTGTGGAAAGATGCTCAGCCTCTCTGACCATCAGGAAATGCGAGCCGAACCCCAACGAGACACCACAGCCATCAGGACGGCTGCCATCAAACCCCAGAAGCCCACAAGTGTCCGGCAACATGGACTGTGGGCTCCCAGGCCATCAGTGACCATGGGAGGATGGACAAACGGTGGCCGCACTTGATGCTCGTTCATGACGAGAAGCTCAGCAGTGGCATTGAGGGGTGAAGGGGGTCGAGGACATGGGCAGGACATGGAGGGGTCCCCCACAGGTCTGACTGCAGGGGAAACGGGGAGCATAGAAGAGAACTGGGCCTGTGGTGTGCAAGGTGAACGGGAGAGTCACAGCCGAATCCGAGTCCTCAGCGCAGGAGCGAGGTGCCCCGGGGAGCTGCGAGGTAGGCAGCCTGCCATCTACTGGGGCGGGGGGGTCTGCTGGGGGTGATTTGGGGGGAAGCTTGCTTTTTCTGAGAAGAGAGAGAAGCTCGGCTAGACCTTTTAAGACACATCAATGCAGCCCGTCTGTGTGCCGGGGCAGCTGCGGGACGTGCTGACACCTGAGGGGGACATGGCTCTGGCCAGGGTACCAGGAGGTCCACCCCAGAAGATACCCAGGATTGTGGTCCACCTGAGCAGCCTACGGAGAGGCAGCTGTGGCTGCCATTCTTTAATGCTTGCCTGAATTGGGGTTGTGAAAATCCAGGCAGAATGGAAATGTTCACGTGCCCACATGCACGCGCGCGCGCACGCACACACACGCACACACACGCACACACACACTACCATGGAAATCCTGCTGTCAACGGTGTCTTTTGTCTGGTATGTTTGATCAAGACCTATTTGTCCCCGGTGGGCACTTAGGACCCATCCCCACGTCCAGCCGTGGTATGAATCAGGCACTTTTCAAAATTGCAGCTAATGTATAGAAACCAAATTCGAGCTAACT